CGTCATTCCAAGAAATCTCATTTTTCTGCAGCTGAAGATTTAGGATATCTATGTCTTTTGCCCTGATTTACACCACAATACATTCATATGTTGGAAACTGGGCACAGCAAGGAATCTTGGGCACTGCAGTGGACTTCTAGAGAAATAGTGATTGCAGTGGGAGACCAAACAAGGACCAAGCTCCATTTTCTGTGCTGCAGTAGAGCTTAAGGTACCTGAAGTCCTTTGTAAGCTAAGCTGGGGCTGCTTCTCTTAGTTTTAGTCCTGAAACAGAGGGAATGAAGCACCATTTTAAAATCACAGTATCAAGCCTTGAGATTTTGTTATGAACATCATGTGCTTCCTAGAGCCTGAATTTCCAAGGTCAGTGCTGATTTGCATCACCAAGAAGGGAGAACAGTCTCAAATGAGAAATGAGTATCTCATTGGACAAAACAGCATTTTGCTCATTTTTGTTATTCGAGTCAAGGGACAAAAGAATGCAGAAGGAGGGGGTCAAAATAACCCGAGGCTAAATCCAAACTGGAGCAAATCCATATTAAAAAAATGAATGTTCCTGAAATTAGCACATGCAAATCTACTCTTTTAGCTACATAAACTCAAAACCTTAAAGCTGCGTTGTAGCCCAACTCTCACTTGGATTCTTAACTCTCATTGATAACACCATGTGCTAATTCAGGCAACCAGGTTTCCATGCACTGTTCTTCCCATGAAGAACAGTTGGTCTTGAGGAAAAACATTTACATAGATGACAGCTATTTTCAGGGAAATGAAAAGTACTGGGTGGAAAAGGAGGTTTTGACATTGTGTGAAATATGGGGTTTACACACAGTAGTTTTTGCTATGTGTTTATAAATTGGTGATTTACCATATATTGATTCACACACCATTTGTAAGTGTCTAATTTATTTATTTATAGAGATGTATGGAAACCATGGTTTGAAAAGCAGTTTGCATAACATCTGGTATGTCAACAATGTAACCTTTCAATTTACTTGTTGGTAAAAATGTCAATATAATGAACCTGAACTCAGCATTGGTTTACACAAATTTCCTGGCAGACAAAGCAGTAATGATTTGCATGTCAGTGTAAGTGACATGTGCCCTCCAGTTTTGAGTAGTTTACACAGCTAAGAGGGATAAAAAGGGTAGAGCACAGGGCTGGCTCCTCATGTAATTAGGCTGGCAGGACAAATCTCATGTATTTGTGTGGAGTGAAGCATTTCATCTCATTTTGACTTCTGATCTTTCAAAAGCTGCCTTTGAGTTTTCATTGAATCTACTGTTTTAGGTTTTTTTTCTCCTTTTTTTTTGTTTTTGTTTGTTTGATTGATTTTTTTTTTGATACACAGAAAAAAGATAGGAGAAAGAAGACCTGAAGTTGATATTAAGTACTTTTTCACAATTTATGTATATTCTACAAAGATTCTGTACTGGGATGTGATAGAGGAATCCAGTGGATTCCTAAATGCTCTTAATAACATTCCAGCAGGAATGACAGCAGTAATACATTGTTTGCACATTTTATATTTACTGCCTGTACAAAGTGGATCATAGAAATCACATCCTTTTCTTTTTTCTGTGACTCACTGCCTGACAATTTTGAAGCAGAAAAATAAGAAGTGCTGTTGATAGTAAATATAGAATAGTAAAGAGCCTTGTTTAAGTGTGGAATCAAAGTTCATGGATGGCAGCAGGTGTTCCTCTTCATTTTAGGGAGTGCAGGCTTGCTCAGAGAAGTCATTGCCCAGCTCCTCTCAACAAAATACCTGTGTGAAAAGGCAGCAGCCTGGTCTGAGGAAAGTGCAAGTTATCTCCTTCCTCCTCTCCTGCCCTTTCTCTCCACCCCAATGATCTGCTTTGAGATTTGAATTTCCATCAAGTTACCAGAAAAACAAACAAAAAAAAAAGGTGGAAGAGGGAAGGAGACAGTCATTTAGGCACTTGGTGTGTGATTTTTCTTCTTGTTCCCTTCTTTTGTGTTTAGTTTTACAGCAGCAGATGCTATCTGCTTCCCATTGTTCTGCCCACACTATCCGGTTTGGATCTGATTTGGGGCTGTGTGTGACAGGGAGAGGGTCACAGGGAAAGCTTTGTGCATCTGCTATTATCTGATAGCTTAAAAAAAAAATAAACTGTATTATGGGCCCGCACTCGAAGCTAAGAAAAGGAAACTTTACCAGCTTTTCCACAGATTGATTTCCAATTTTTTTTGGTGAAAGATTTCTAGTGTCTCAATGAATACACAGCCTGAGCCAATGCCAGCTGCTTGTAAGAGCTTCCAAGGATCTTTCAATCATTTTATTGTAGTCACTACATACATTTTCTATTTTTCCATCATTAATATTTCCTTCATTCAGTTTAAAAAGGTACTTTTTTTTACTTTTATTCAAAATTTCATTATTAACTCTTTGTGTGACACTTTGGACTACAACCCTGTTTAGGTGGTGGAACCACCACAGAGACTCCAAGATTTAGGCAGAGTTTTTTTACTAATACATGACAAGCTTTAAGCAAATTCTATTTTTTTTGCCTGGAGATTTGTAGCAAAATGAACAAATTCAGTGTTTTATCCAGCAGATTAGATGCACTTGAAAGAATATTTAAGAGAACCTTTAAAGAAATTATGGGGAAGAAAGGGAATGCTGGAGATTATTGGGCAGGGCAAGGCAGATCAGGATAAGGCAGACAAAAAATTTATGCATTTATACAGAGGTAATACTTAAAAGATTACTAATTATACAAAGGTAACACAGCTAAAGACTTCATTGGCTGTTGGGGATTATTTTAATTACCTAATAACAAAACCTCTTTAAATATCTGAATGATGCTGAATTTTTTATATTTATTTATTTCCATGGGACTCCTGCAGAGTTTTCCCTCAAGCTGTGTTGACTCAAGACCCCATCTAGCTGGGACTCTGTGACATTCCAGACAACACAGCATTATTTAGAGTCTCAGGCACACTTTCCACCACATAAAATCCAAATTGAGTTCTCACAGGTCATGTGGCTGGCCTGGCTGGTACAGCCCTCAAAAGGTCTTTCCCCTTTCTCCCTTTTGTTGGGCCTTTGCTCTTTTTTCATGATTTGTATTGGAAAATGAAGACACAACCGAGCTGAAGCTGAAATCCCATCAATTTTTTTGCTGGGTAGCCAAAACCTTCTCAGCCCCTTTCCCTCTCCTGTATTTTCCCTGCAATGTTAACTTTCTCTGCTCCTTGTTCACACAGATGGAGGAAACACGTTTGCTTGCAAAACCAAAAGCACACGACTGCATCTCCCAACCTTCAGCACATACAAGTGGCCTCCTCCCCCTGACCTCTCATTTCTCAGCTTTAGATTAAATTCCAGATTTCAGCTTCTCAACTTCAGACTCGTGGAAGGACATGAAGCCCTTGAGCCTTGGAAAGACCTGAGCCACTCGACCACTCATCTTCATTTTATTGCTTGTTTATCTTTCCTGCTTTTTCATGTTCTGGGCTATTAGCAAGACAAGAAAGGGCTTCTCATGTCACACAAACAGTGCCCTATGATGCACAGGCAGCAGTCACCCATGTGTTAACCCCAGATGGGGTTTTGTGGCACCCTGAGCCCAGTATTCAAAGCCCATCAGCACAAACTCATCCATGCAGAACAGAGCTGCTTGCATTTATATTTTCAGCAACTCATGAGGGCTGAAAGCAAAGCCTCTGATTAATGTGAATTTGCAAGGAAAGGCCCAGTAGCCACCTCCGAACATGCTGAGAGACTCCTTATGCCATAAAGGAATGAGAAGTGACTAGGGGAGAGTTTGACTTGACTGGGAGTGAGGTGGGAAAGAGAAAAAAGAGAATAACAACAACAAAACAGAAAACTTTCAGGCAGCACTTTTAGTTTAGAGAGCTTTTAGTTCAGATAAGAAGCTCACACAGGGTTGAGCTTCATTTTAAGGTTCTGATTTATCTGAGTTGAGCATGGCATCAGCTAAAATTCAGAATGAAACTAGGACACAAACTTAATTGCAAAACCAGCTGAAACCACAGGATGCAGTCACAGAAAATTCTCACTCATTTGAGGCTGGCATAGGGTTTCACCAAGCTTCAGCAGGAGGTTTTGGGGGCCCCAAAATAGATTAAGGGAGTTAAAATTCAGTTGCTTTCCCAAATTCAGCCCTGGCCTAGCAGAAGTAGACAAGGGGATGATTAGAGAGTATCCACACAAGTAGGAGTGATGGCTGGCTGGCACATGGCTTGTCTACCCAACAAGGTGAGATTTGTTGGGGTTCTGTTGGTGTAAAAACACATGGTCATCCTAAAATACCTCTATCCAACACCATAGCCATGAGTACACAGAAAACAGAAAACAGAAGGTCAACAGCTGTTTCTCCTGCAAAAAAAAGTGAACCAAGAATCTCAGACCAGGCAGCCACAGCTCTCACACTGCTCCTCTAATTGTCAACTGCTGATGGCCGATTCCTGGAAACAACCGGGGAGAGGGAGCTCTGTGCCTAGCATGAACAGGCTTGTGGTTTCACTGAAAAGCCAACACCACAGCTCAAAGCCAGCCGTTCCAGCAGCATCGCTCCTTCCCCTGACACTGTCTCTCTGCTGCTCCCTCCGAGAATATTTTCTGCTGCAGACATTTATCCCACGTTGGATTTCACTCCTCCTGCCGCTATTCTGGTTTTGTCTAGAAAGGCAGACTTTGTCTGGCTCTCAGCAGCCTGAAGGGTATTTTTTCCTGTACAGGATTCAGACAGGAATGCTGTTGGATGGGCCAAGGCTCAGGAAGGTGTTGCACAGAGGGGCTCCCTCACATGGGTGCTCACCCTGAGCTGTTGGGGAGACTCCCTCTTTGCCATGGGGGACAGACATGCAGGGGAGGAGCTGCAGGGTTTTTAGTTCTCCATGGTATTTTGGAAATATATGGGAACAATATGGAAATATATATAATATATTTGAGATATGGGAGACATATTGCCTTCACCTCTAAACTGTGCTTTCCTTGGTTATCCTACAGGCATGGGAAGCTCATGAGGTCTGATCTTGTGCACACTCAAGCAATGCCTTTTTATTCCAGAGCAGCAGCTCCTGCTAAGCTGAGTGGGGTTGTGGGCAGCAGAGAGGTGAATCCCATTTCTGGAATAGGTGAGTCATTGAAAGATGCAGGATTTTCTGCTGCTTTTGGCTTTTTGAGTTAATGGGTGTGAAACTTCTTTTCACTTCTGCTTTTCGTGTGCATGCTTGGTGCGATGCACTTACGGTGTGGAGTTTTGCAATCAGGAGATTTCCCCATCAAGTTTGGGTTTGTTTCTCTGATTTTTACAAGGGATGAGCAGGCTATCACTTCAGGGCAAAGCAGACATGTAGCACATCAGGGCAGGGAAATCCACAAAAAATAGTATCTGAATACTATTTGTGTTGCAAGCACATGTAGGCGTTTATTATTTCTGAGATCTCTCTCGTCAGTCAGACACTGAACAATTGTGACATCTGTTGTAAGTTACTGTCCCCCAGAGTCATTTTACACAGTTTGGAGTTTGCTTTTTCAAATCCACCACAAACAAAGCCCAGAATTATCTCTCAGTCCCCACAAAGGCAAGTGGGAACCTCCTGGGGAAGTGCTGCAGACTGCAAGGAGGTGGAGAGGTTTAGCAGAGGAGGCTGTTTGGGTCCTCTCTGCCTTACCATGGGTTGAGCAATGAACCCCTCAGTTCACACCATCAGAGGGACCCCCCTGAGATCCACAGGAGATGAGACAATGGTAATTTCAAAAAAAACAAAAACAGACACCAAGTGCAAAGGCTGACCCGCAGCTCCAAACTTTCTGAGCCATCATCCTGTGCTGCGTTGGGGATCCCTGTGTTGGTGTTCACAGGTTTGCACTTTGTTGGTGCCTCCCACACTGCTGCTGGGAGCTGGGAAGGCCACAGCCAAGTCAGCTTTCCCTTTCAGCCCATCTGCCTGTATCGGGGAAGAAATACTGTCTGTTTGTTTAGGTGAGATATTAGTCTGCCCCCGGAGCTCCAGGTCACTGTAAATGTAACACAAGCCCTATTTCCTGTTAGGAAAGGGGAAAAAATATGCCTGTGAATTGTCTCTGATGTGCTGCCAATTGTCAGGGAAGATTCAATTTGGTGGAGAATTACTGTGCTCTTAAAGAGCTGCACCAGTGACTGAGATTTAGGGCAGTTGCTCCTTCCAGAAATGGGAGATTTGTCTGATTTCCACAAAACCAGGACTGTGACTGTCAGCCTGCTGCCCACCCCACAGGCATGAATGGCTTGGAGGGGAGGCTGAGGCAGTAGCTCTGCTTAATGGGACCATATTGGGACAAGAAGGGGACACCTGTGCATGGCTGAAGGAGAGCTGGACAGAGATTTGGGGTGAGGATGGCAGGTGCTGGGGTAAACCTTTCTGTCCCTGTTTCACTATGGTAAAGGAAAAATGGTATTTTCTTGCCACCTAGCCAAAAATCAGACCAAAAGAGACAATAATTTTCTCTCTGTGTGTGATGCACATATGTGTTCACTTCTAATCCAATAAAGCAAAAATGTGACCTGTGGAGTGACCCAAAGCTGCTACAATAAATAATGCTATGGATCACTCATGCATTTTGCTTTCTTTTGCATTTCCTGTATCAAGGCCAATTTCAGCTGTTGTCTAAGCAGCCATGTATAGTCAGCTACAGTAGAAATCACCCTTGCCCTTCCAAAATTGCAAAAAATGGGTTTCCCTCTCTTTTCATTGTGCTTATTGCAAAGAGTAATATTTCAGTTTAGGCCTGGATAAAGGTGCAATGCACTTAGGTAAAGCTGATGTGTTTACATCATGATCTTTGGCCTACTCTGTAGGCCTTGTCTCCAAAAACATTCACCCTCCAAGGATTTCTGTGGCAAAGAAATACAAAAAAGCCTATGGACTATGTCCTGTGAAATTGCCCAGATGTTAACTGGACATCAGAGGTGCTTTGCAACCTGGCATTGTCAATGTGTCCATGTGCCAGTTTGTTCTCTTCCAAAAAAGACATTTAAATCATGTTAGCCTTAGTGGCAGAGTAATTGTTAACTAAAAGCTGTATAATCCATAAAAATAACCCTAAAGAGATTTCATTTTTATTCAGCTTGCTACTGCAGCAGACAATAGCTTGGTTGGCAGGAGACCAGGAGAAATGCAGAAAATCAATTTTAAGGGATATAAAGGCATGGTTTTTTTGCCATTTGGTTCCCTCTCCTAGTTTCAGGGAGCTAGTGGGGAGTTGAGGTGGTGGCCAGCAGTGTTTCTCTCCCCAGTGCTTGCAGCTAAGAGCTCACTGTGGCCTCTGTCTCCCAATATCTGGGCACTCTCCCTGGTACTCTGAGTATCTCTAATCAGCCAGGGCACACCCAGCACCAGCTAAGTTATCCTCCCTGCAGTCCTTGGCAATGGGGTAACTCCTGTGCCATGCTCCAGGCAATCCCTGGAGATGGAACTTGTCCTCTGCAGCCATTTCCAAAACCCATCAAGGTTTATCCTGGAGCGCTGGAGCTCAGCAGGGCTGAGCCCTGGGTTGCAGTGCAGAGCTTCACACTCCCAGGGCTGCCCCATGGGGCATTCACAGCCCTTCCACTTTGTCCAGAGGTTCCTTCTTCTATGGAAAATGCAGAAACTGCTCCTGGTATAAATGCAGATTTTTGTTCTCCTTCTTTTACTGTGCCTCTGTGTTTCAGAGTTTTGCTGTTGGAGCAAATATTAAAAAATGTAATGTCTTACTTATTCCATGAAAAGCTGCTTGGCAGAGACATGGGGTCAAAAGCCAGTGCTGCAGCCCAAACCAGGGCCTGTGGCTGCTCCATCAGCTGCTGCAATCCCTGCATGGGCCAGTCTCTCTCCCTGAGCCTTTCTCAAACACCTGCTGATCCCATCCTTGGCTCCTGGTAGAGCTGATCCATTCCTGACTTCTCTCCTGTTCCTTCAGCCTTTCTCCAGCTGCCTCTCCCTGCATTAGGCTCCTCCTGCTTTCCCTCTTTGCATCTCTGCAGCCATAGGCATATGTAATAAATAATAACTACATATGTATTTTGTATTTGCATACTAACATTTAGGGAAATAAGTTATTTGTAGTTTTGCACTAAATGAAGGTAGGAGGGTGTTAATATGTTAGGAAAGCCCCCTCTTTCCATCTCCCTTGTCTGTATTCTGAAATTTCCTTTTGAGACTGCTTCTTCTTTCCAGTCATCCTAAATCCAATTAATCCCTCTTTTTATTTTAGACAATTGAAAAAAAATGCCATTATTGCTAAGGAAGTTTGAGATCTACTTAGAAAGAGTAAAATGGATTTAATCTGGTTCTTGTGTGATAAATACATTTTAAGCTTCTTGGTGTGTCTGCATCAAAGATGTCAAAATGTAATCCTTTAAAATCAACATGATAGATCCTTTAATACACTTTGTAGCCTATTGCTGTAAAATACTTTCTACATTTAAAAATGTGTATTCACAGGAGACCAGTATTGTTTAGGACATAGGTGGACATATCTGAAATACCCAGGCAAAAAGTGTCTGCTACTACAGTGTCTTGAACTGTTGGGAAGAATAGCTATTACTCACTAAATCTAGTATCCAGTTCCTGGGGAAAAGGTATTTTCTCCTGAAAACACCTGCAGGGTGAAGTTTATTTCCCTTTTGTCAATCTGAGCAGCAAAGTAAGGATGCTATAATAAATGATGGCAGGGGCTGAGAAAGATGTAAGAGGACAGAAAAGAAATCATTAATCCACAGCACCAAGTCTGATAATAGCCAGCAGATACCAGACTGCCAACACATCTCTTTATCTGTGGGTTTATCTCCTCTTGGGCACTGTTTGTTTTGTTTGGGGTTTTTTCATGTGTTTTTGTTTGGTTTGGGTTCTTTTCCATCCAGCAGCTCTGAATCTTGTCCCCTCTGTGAAGATCCCCAGATACACAGGAGTGCCCATCTTTATCTCCTAATATTTCCTAAATATTTCGTAAAATTCTGCCTCTGCTGCTGCCCTGACTGCGATGGGCTGGAGCTCTATCAGCAGCCCAGGGAAAACAGCTTAGCAAGGTTACCACAGTGTCACTCTGAAAGTAGCCAGCAACTCCTTGCAGTTTATTATTCCTGCTCTTAAGTGTGACCTGGAAATTTGTATCCTTGTACAACCAGATGTCAGTTCCTTCAATTTCTACAAAGCCACTCTTTTTCTCCCCTTCCCCCTCCTTTTCTGGCTATCCAGACACATGAAAAACCAACAACGTGGGTTCATGCTCCTGACAAGATGAGCCCTGTCAGGAATACACAAGCTGTGGTTTTTCCTTTCTGCATTTCCTTCCTTTTTCTGAAGAAAAAAGACCTTTGATTTATCTAAAGTTCTGTTATTCTTTTTTTTTTTGTGTGTGTGTTTGAGCTAATAAAAGGTGTCATTATATTATCACACTTGTGTCCCTTCCATGTTTACCCTGGCCCACATTCCACTCTGCAACAACAAGAACATAAAACATCCCACGAGAAACTCTAGGTTAAGTTTATTTGACTTATTTTTTCTAACCTATGTTGTAATCAGGATTGTTTTGCTAACTTAGTTCACTGAGGTAGTTTTTGGTAAAGCCTAAGATTTGCTTAAGTGGCCAGAAAGAAAATACATATGACTGGTTTATGCCTTGCCACCCTGAATTGTAATGTTTTGTTTATTATGATTTTGGGCATGTTTTATTGGTGAGTGGAGAGGTCACAGCCTCGCATTTGAAACCTGTATTTGTGCTTTATGGGTTCTGGGATTTGAAACCACAGACAGGCACTGAACTTTCTGGCTGCCTTAGGTAGCTGTGACCAAGTGGCCAGACCAGGTCCTCTCCTCTGTGGTCACTGTTTTAGGAGCAAAAGTGTGACATTGGCCTGGGAAAGGAGGTCTCAAAAAAAGAACATGAGGCTGAAATAAGCCCACTGCAGTGTACTCTGCTCTCCTCGTTCCCAGCCTCTTGTCATTCTTAATATTCCTTAATTCTGAGATTTCTGGTCAGTCTGTTCTTTTGGAAATAAACGTGTTTGGAAAGAAATATGTGTTCATACCCCACGTAGAAAATATGGCAAACATACACCCAACTTCTGTAGTGGTGGATCCAGTTATAACAACTCAGTTGAAAAGACTCTTCATTCTAC